TAGATTATAATATTTATTAGACCTTCAAAAGTTTTAAAACATTTTATGGATTTTGATGTTATTGAGTGTAACATGCCCATTTAACACGTCTTCTCCAACAGTTGCAACTCCAAATGAAACAACATCGCCGTATTTCAAGCGGTCACCCTCCCCATAAACAATGTTCTTGAAAACAAAATTCGAAGACTTCTTTATAACGGACGTTTTGTAATAGACTTCGTACCAGATCACCACGCGGAAGAAATTCACTTTGGAAATATTGGGGGTCACAAGAGAGTCGTCCCAAACTTTATTCATAAAGGCTTCTTCATCTTTTGACCATATGTTGAGAGTTTCTATTCGTGGAAAATACTTCAGTGTTTTTGGTGTAAGAGGAATCGGGTTGAAATGAAACTTTGTGATGTTTTCCATAAATTTTCGACAAACAGTCTCAAGTGTAAAAAAGTCGTGTATTTGATCAGAGTTCTTAGACACAATCATAATATGAAACCCATCAAGACGTTTCGGCATGTATTTTTTGATGCAATAATAATAATGTAAATTTTTGTAAAACTTCAAAAATGAGTGTTTAATTAAATTAGATAAGTTTAAAATTAATAAGAAAACTACTTATTTGAGTTATTAATATTTATATCATAAACTATAAATTTCAACATTCTCAATTAATGTAAATTTTAATTAAATTTTAATTCATTGTTTGTGATTTCCAATAAAAACATATTTTAATTTTTCTGAGGATGGTAAATATCTTAGACAAAATTTCTTTCAATTTAGATTTTTTTGCCTAAGATCAAAAAGGTATATTTTGAAACATGTGATTTTTTTTAAAAATGCTGTTTACAATTTTTATGGAAGATGGGTATTATCGAATTGGTCTGGATTGTTATGAGTGTGATATTAGCTGCTCTTCTTGCAATAACATTAATATTTGTCTTTCTTGCAATTCAACGAATTACAAAACAAATAACGGTGATTGATTGCCACAAATAGTATTATTGGGTGTGCTGTGAATGTCACACAAATTGGGTGTTCTAAATGTCTAAGTGCCAAGATGGGTATTATACAGTTAACACAAACGAGTGTAATAAATGCTATGACAACTGTTTTTCATGAACATCAACCAGCAACAAATGCACTTCATGAGACAATTTACTTGTGTAACTTTCAAATGGAAGTTGTGTTGGTCTATCACAAATAGCAAACTGTCGAGAAATCACAAATTCTAAATGTTCAAAATGTTCATTTTGGTGGGTTATCTTAAGTGAAAATGGCACGTCATGTGTTTCACAAGCTGTTTGGTGGGTCATTCTTGTTGCGTTTTTGTTTGTTCTTATTGTTTTGATAATAATTACAAAAAAGATTTAAAAAACTCCACAAAAAAAGAAGTGGAAAATACAATAACAGTGTTTCAAATGAAGAAATCGAATACTAGTTTTATTTTCAAATAATATTAGTGTCATTTCAAAAGGAATTGGTTTTAGCAAAAATGTCAATGAAATTCCAGTGAATTCAAATAGTCGTGAAGTGTTTTGTGTTTGCGGTAATAACATAAATGTAGTTAAAATCCAATTTACTATTTCGCAAAGTTCCGACAAAATTTCACTTAAAATCTGACAAGAAGTTGTCTGTATCTAAAAATAATTTGTTTGTAAATTTAAAGTTGTGTTAACACTCAAAATAACGCCCTTGTTTTTGTTTTGACCTGTTTTTAAAAGGATATTAATTTATTTTTTGATGATTTTCCTTTTTTGGCTTGTGTATTGTTTATTCACATTATACAATCTCTAAAAAACGGAAATTTATTTAATAAACTCGAAATTTCCCGATTTTTAAACCACTTGAATTTTGTTCAATGTTTTTTAAGTGTTAATTGTTTTTTGCACTCGTCAAATCAAAAACACAATTTAAATTGTTTCAAAATGCCTCAAAAAACAAAAAGAAAAATTCAACCCAATTGCGCTTGTTGGAATAACACAACAAACAACACGAATAGACTTCGAAGAATTGAGCGAGGAGAACAAACTTGGTGAAGGTTCTTTTGGTATTGTTTACAAAGGAAGTTATCTAGGAAATGTTGTTGCAATTAAAAAGTTAAATCATTAACGAAATCAATAATAATAAGTCCTTTACAAATTTTAGTTGTTAATATACAGATTAAAAAATATAAGTAAAAATACGAGTTTGTTATTCAACTTTGCTGTCTAAAAACAATACAATAAACAAAAAGATGTCGATAAACCTGATTATAACTTTACATGCTATTTGACTTTCTGAGGACTTAAAAACCCAAAAATAATGGATTTTGTGTAATCTTAGTTATTTTTAATAAAATGAGACTTTTATTTCTTTAATTATTCTAACTTCCATGGGACGACTGACTTACTAATATTTTATAGTAAAATGTTATATATTATAGTAAAAAAGTAAACCTTTTGTTGAAGTTAGAACGAACAAAGGTTCATTTTTTTGCTTGATTCTTTCAGAAACAAGTCACAGTTCAATGGAAAAGTCAGATCAAACATTTATTGAGATGTCTACAATCTATTTCAATTATAAAATTAATTATAAAATATAACAAAGACCAAATCACATCGTAAAACATACCAGTCCAAAATATTCAAAATCAATTGCATCATAAAACAACACAGAAAAGAAAATAAAGCATAGACTTTGAAATGTATTGAAATTTCATGATGCAATTGATCTCAAAAACAATTACAAGGGAAATTAAATAGATTTTTTTGTAAACTTGATTTTGACAATTCAAGCAATTTGACTTTTTTACTTTTAATCCATTTGACTGTTTCTTTTCCTTTTGAGGTAGGTCTCCATCTTGCTGTAAGTAGAAATCACGTTTTATCTCTTTTTTTATGTGTTTAAAAATTCTGTTGTATTTAAACATTTGACAATAATCTATTACTATTATTCTTTCAGAACACAAAAACAAATCTGATTTGTAATCTTTATCAATGGCTCTCCACACCATTATACTGGCATTAAAAAAATCGCCCAGCCCGCGGGTCTTTAGTCTTGAGTTGGCTCAATGTTCTTGAACATTTCCTCCCTCATTTCAGATGCGGCTGCCTCAGCCGGCTTTTCTATCTTTTCTCTTTTCTCTGACTTTTCAATGGCATTCCACAGCAGTCTCGTTTCAGCTACTTCAGGATCTTTTTCTGGTATTTCCCCGTCTTCGATCATCGCTGATATTTTACCTGCTACCCATCTGCAGGCATCGTCTTCCAATTCTTCAAGCTCCATTTTCTCCTTCGTGGAGAAAAACCTTCTTCTGACTCCAAAGTTGGAGTTACCACTGCTTCAGTGGGTTTCTCTTCTTTTTGCGGCTCGACGTATTGCACATTAAATTCTTTTACGTCTTCTATTCTTCTCAATAGCTGCTGAAAGCAGCTCACTTTCCAACATTTGATCTTTGGACATAGTTAGCATGAGTTTCTTTTTTTGATACTTTCATTTTTCCACTGGAGCAGTTCCCTCTTCTATCCAGTCACCGTCTTTCTTTACATATTTCATGACGTTTACTGAACTATCGACCTTTTCGTAATGACCGTGGTACTTTTTTCTGCGAGAAGATATTCCCCAATATTTAGGAAGTTTTCTTTCTTTATTCCGGCTTTTTTTCTAGCATTACAAGCATGTGTAGATGCTAACCATCATTCTCGTGGTGATCTTCTTTACAGACTAAAATGTACTTTACTCCCCTGTTGAAAAGTGCGCCTTTCACCTGTTTTAGTGCTATTACTTTATATATATCGCACTGTGGGTATGTCAGGAATAGGTTTTTTGCATCTATTCTGAAGTCTTTTACCTCTGCTTTAATGGTTTTTTTCACCACTGCCTCAGTGGGTTTGTTTTCGGCTGCCCCAGCCGGCTTGAGACTTCTTACACATCTTTTTTCATTTGGTTGTTGTTTACTCATAATGTTTGTACGCTACTAAAAGCGAAATGCCTTTAATATTACCTAATGCACGTAGCGCCCAGCGTCCTACGGCTATATTGGCCCTCTCTTGGCTCTTCCCTCGGGACTTTGGCTAAGATTAGGATAAATTATTTTAGCGTCCTATCTAATTATTGCTTATCTTATCCCTAGGCCTTGTGCTTAAATTATAATAAACTATTTCGTTATAGTTTTTAATTTTTTTCTTTTTAATTTTTTAAATGGTTTTCTATTATGGTTTTATTTATCAAAAATATCTTGATGTAACTTTTTAAATTTAAGATCTCAATTCAATTAAAAGTTATATGGTTCGTTATACACGCTCTTCTACTGCTTTTCGAAAAAGGTCTTTTCGCAAGTCTACTCGTAGAAGTACTCGTCGCACTCGACGGCCTCGCTCTTATGTTAAGAAGACTACTTATCGGAAAAGGGCTCTTCAGAGTGCTGACACCAAGTTACTTAAGTTTAAGTGTACTAACTTGTTTTCAGTCTGTGTGTCACCTTCTGGTAAGGTAGGTGAAACTAGTCATGTAAATACTGCTGGTGTGACTGCTCAACCATTGTTTCATACACTTTTTAATTCTAAAGAATTCATCACTAAGTGTAAAGAGTTTGAGCAGTGGAAGTTGAATGGTGCTCGTGTGAAGATTCTTCCCACTACTTCTCAGACTGATAATACTCTGAATAGTCTTCATTATGTAACTACCGCATGGGATCGTGATGGAATAGAAGCGAATAAAATTCCCGATTATTCCCATCTTTGTCGCCTGTCATCCAAGATTACTAGACAGTGTAATTTGAATGCGACTACTTTTTCTACTCTTAGATTTATTCAGGCTCTTTCTCCACAAGAGAAGAATACTTATGCTCGTACTGACCCACTTACTTCTTCTGATGAAAAAGAAAATATCCAATCATTATTAACTAAATTAAGTACAGAGTCTGATACACACTTGTGGAATCCTGTTTTTCTAATGGGTATTCTTTGTATGCAGAGTGGTGCAGTTTCTGCTGATGCTTATAAAAGCGCTTCTGATGTGAATACTAATATTTTAATTCCTAACCCATCAACTGGGATCCAATCATTTAATTTCATACTTGAGTGGGAGTTTAATGTGTCTTTCAAGGGAAGTCATGCTCAAGAAGATCCACTTCCTATGACTGCACCCCATTTGTTGATGCTTCCTACAGCTAATGTTCTTACACAGACTTCTGCTGATATTGTCAAGCCTGTTGCTCAACCCGTTGTTCTACCTCAAGTTGCTCCAGAATTTTGTAGTTTGTATATTAATAACTTTAAATACATTTCTACTGCAAAAAATGAATATACTATTCCTTCGAATGCTTGTATGGCAAAATCTTATGCTGCTGGTTCAGTTGTTACTGTTAATTTCTCAGCTATATATACACTTGCTGTTGTTTTTACTGCTGAAGGAGTTTATGTATTTTCATATACTGGTTTATCTGATCATTCTTATTCTACAGGTCATACTACTCTTACTTCTCTTTGGTATATGTGCCATATGGATTTAGATGTTTATTGCTTCCTCATTCCTGCTGTTCAGTCTTTTTCAAATGGAACTCAAAATCCCAACTTTTTACTTTCTTTTTATAGTGATTTTTTTCATGCAAGTGTGAAAATGGTTTTCGAATTTTTTTCGCATTTTGTATTGACCTCATACTTTTTCGAATTTTTTTCGCATTTTGTTTTGTGCTTTTTTCGCAATTTGTTTCGTACTTTTCTTTTACCCCCCTCTTACCCCCAAAACATTTATCAAAAATTTATAACCGCCGGTGTTATTATTTTATAACGGACGTTTTAGATGGGTATAGTCTATAATTTAGCTCGTTAAATAAAAAAACTCGTTAATTATTCTTAGAGTCCACTTTCTCGTGTTCTGTTCACTGGTCATTTTTTCAAAGTGGCTTTCCAAATGTCCCGAGGTGTTTCCGGAGTGATCCCTTGACGTAATGGAGCAAAAAAAATCCCAAAATGATCGACCCCCCTAGTGTATAGTGTAGTGGGATAATCCACCTTGGGATAGCGAGTATAATCGCAGCGTGAGACCAAGTTGGATTCACGAAGCCCTGGGGGGCGTCGTTCTTTTGTTTCACAAAAAAGCGTAATGAAGGAGGGGGTGAAGGGGAGGAACACTTTCCTTTGTTATAGTAAAAATTTTAATTTATTTTTCTATTGTTTTTACTATTCTTTAAACCGAAGGTGAGCAATGAAAAACTCTTTTAGAGAAAATTGCCCAGCCCGTGGGTCTTTAGTCTTGAGATGGTTTAATGTCTTTAAACATTTCCTCTCTCATTTCAGACGCGGCTGCCTCAGCCTTCTTTTCGAGTTTCTCTTTCTCTTCTTCTTCTGGATCATATGGAGGTATTTCTCCATCTTCTATTGCCATTGCTATACGACCAGCAATCCAGCTTTCCGCGTCGTCTGTTAACTCGGATATTTCCATCTTTCTCCTTCGTGGAGAAAGTCCTTCTTCATCCCATGTTTGGGTTGCCTCTGCCTCAGAGGGCTTCTTCACCACTTCCTCAGTGGGTTTTGTATATTTTTCAGTGAATTCTCTTGTGTCTGTAATTCTTCTCAGCAGTTGTTCAATTCCATCCCACTTCTCTCCTGTTGTGTGGTTTACGAATAGTGCTTCTGGGTCTGCGGGACATGTTACCCATATTTCTTCAGCACACCATGGGAGACTACCACCTTTTACGTTTACGCTTGTCTCATAAACGTCTAAAAGGTCCAAAAGTTCTTCGAAGCAGATGCTTCTCGCTCTTAGGTCATCTATGACTACTCCCTTTTCACACCCATATCCTATGCAGAAGCCCGTGTTCAACGTGAACTTCACTCTTGCCCAGTCGTTTCCCCATTTGTCTTCTGCTTCTTTCCTCGCCGTAAAAGATTTTCCACAACCTGGCTTGCCGTAGAACCAATGCACCTTCAAATTCATTCTTTTGGGTCCCTTCATTAGTCCCTTTACTTTTAGCGCTTGCAATGCTTGGTAGATTGTCAGCTTTTCTCCACTTATTAGCTCTTCTTTGTTAGACTTTTTTACATAGTCAAAAGTCTCCTTGTTGTTCATTTCATCGTGCTGTGGTGCATTTCCTTGCTCTAACCAGTTGTTTCCTTCTTCACATAAGCAACTGCATCTTTCGGGCTTTTTGCTGATAAATAATTTCCGTGTATGTCTTTGCTAATCCAATCAGAGCTTAGATTCAGGCAGCTCTGATCTCTGAAACATACTTTTCTTTCCAGCATTACCACTGCATGTAGATGCAGTCCCTCCTTTTCGTGTTTTTCCTGGCACACGACTATATATATAATTCCATAGTCGTCCAGTAAAGTTCTCAGTTGCTTCATTGCGTTCTCTTTTGGAAGAGGTGTCTGTGGCCATGTTAGGAGCAGGTTCTTCGCGTTTAATCTGAAAGGTTTTACCACTGCCTCAGTGGGTTTTTGTGCGGCTGCCCCAGCCGGCTTGCATCCTTTCTTAACTCCTTTAAGTTGTTTGCTCATAAGTCTGTTTTTTTAGCTGACGCTAGTGCCTTTAATATTACAAGGCACGCAGCGTTAGCGCCAACTTCTCATGTTGGCCCACGTTTGGCTGGTCCCTCGGGACTTTGGCTAAGATTAGGATATTAGCGCCTGGCGCCAAATCTAATTATAGCTCATCTTATCCCTAGCCCTTGCTTATTTTATAATTTACTATTTCCTTATAGTTTGTTAATTTTTGTTATTTAAAATTATTAATTATATTTTTAATGTTTTTTTCAATAGTTTGTTTTATTAAAAATATTTTGATGTAACTTTTTAAATTTAAGATCTCAATTCAATAAAAGTTATATGGTCGCTATACA